CCATGATAGAGGACACCAGAGAAAATTGCACAGAGTAGGGTAAATATTATTTCACAACACTTTAAAAAACAGTGGCAAGGGGATACCTGGGTGGCTCAGTGGTTGAGCGTCTGCCTTTGGCCCAGGGCGTGATCCTGGGGTCCTGGGACTGAGTCCTGCATCGAACTCCCTGCGTGGAGCCTGCTTATCCCTCTACCTGTGTCTCTGCCTCTCTCTCTCTCTCTCTGTGTCTCTCATGAATAGATAAATAAAACCTTTAAAAAAAAACAGCGGCAAGTGGCAGGATATACATAAAATGTATCATTTTAACCATTTTGAAGTGACTTTAAGCACATAGACAATGTTGTGTCGCCATCACCAGCATTTCATGAAACTCTTGCTGTGTGTGTAGTGGGCTCTAATATAAAATGTATTTCTTATTTCAGGTCATGGTTTTTTAAAAAAAGCAAGAAAAGCCTGTGTTAGCTCACTCTTCATGTATACAAAATGGTGGAGATTTCACTACCTCTGAGACCCTAGTGGAGCCTGAGCAATAGAGAAACCTTCTAAAACTAAAGATGAGGAGATGATTCCAAAGAAAAGGATAAATTCAGATATTTGTCATATTGAAAAATTTGAAAAACCTATTTGTCTTTGCATGTGTGTGTGTGTGTGTTCCACATTTGTTCACACAATGAGTGCATGGGGATTGTACTGTGATAGAGTGACACCCCCAGGGTTGGGGCGAAGGTCGGGAGGTGTCATCCTGGGACACTGAAGGTGGAAACAGTGGCTGAGCTGCCTTCGACAGCAGCGCTGCAACTATGGTGCCTGTCTGGGTGTCACAAGGAGATTCTGGTGTTTCACCAAGGGGATTAAGGAAACAGTGTTTCCTACATCTAATCAGAGTTACTAAAATATCTATCCAGAGGAAAACACCAATGTGCTAATGCCGATGTATGGAAAATTATAGTTCCCTCAACTCTGGCATGTGGTATCTAAGCTTATAAAGTTGTCAAAACAAACAGACAAAGAAACAAATAGCCGTCACCATGGAATGTTAGAAAATAAAAGTACAAATGATAAGGACTCCAATTCTACTGGATTCACTGTAGTAAACAGTGTTCAAAATAAAGGCAGCTCCCCTAGAATTGACAGGAACTGGCGGGAGGCTGGTGGGTGAGTTGGCAAAGCTGGGATGACTTCCATCCAGCAAACATCCAGTAATACCAGTCACTGTGAAAGACGATGAGGGTACACATTCTAAGACATAGTTCCTGCCTTTGCAAAGTTTCTAATGGGCGGAAGATAAAGAACGTCACGTAACAGGTTTCTATGCAGTCAGAGCAGTGTCACAGGTGTACCTGCATGGGGCCGGAACTTGAAGGATGGCCTGATTCAGCCAGCCATGGGCTGGAGGCGGGTATTCCAGGAAGTCTTCCCAGAGGAGGTCCAGGTGTCCAAGTTATGTCTTGCAAAGAACAGATGACAACTTGCCGGAAGGAAGAGGGGAGAGACAGAAGAGGAAACACACAGACGCACAGGCAACCTACTGTGCTCAGGAACCTCTGGCTGGTTCCATGGTCGGGGAGGGGAGATTTTAAGCCCCATCAGGTGATTGTGGTTAATATTTAAAAATGGAACCTGTTATTTGGGGTCTCCCTTCTTTGCAAGCTCTTCGCTGCTGGTGAGCAACAGGAGCCACACATCTTCCATGACTGGGTTGGGGTGTCCATTTCACAAAATAATGAGGCAGAGAGTCTTCATTAGAGAAGATTTTGGGGGAGAGCCTGCATCTCAGGAGACTTGTGTGAGCGCAGCTCAGGGCACCTGGCATCACTGCGGCTCAGTCTTCTGGAGGGGCTGGGGCCACGCTCCTGCTGGGGAAGAGGGGTTGTGGAAGCAGGGAGTGACTGCCCAGAAGAAACAGGAGGGAAGCTGGTGGTTGCCGTGCGCACCTAGACTCAGGACATGGGCAGCGCTGTCCCGACAGGGGCTTTCTCTCTCACTGGAGGGATGCCTGTCATTTCTTAAGAAGTTGAGTGTCCACAGATGTTGGGTTAAAAGTAATGTTCAGTTTGCCAGGTCTCCAAACTTAAAATGTTCCCAAGTAAATTTTTAAAAAACGCTTATTGAGTCCAGTTCTCTGCCTGGAACACCCAAGCTCGGGAATGTTTCCAAAACGTCTGTCTCATGTCCTCATCCTTCTTTCTGTGAGCGCTGCAGGCAGGCAGGCAGGCAGGCAATCAGGGTGGGAGTGCAATCTCTCCCCAGGCCTGGAGGCAGCGAGGCACCAACTAGCCCGGAAGATATCTGCTGGCAGAGCGTGGATCGAAGCTGCAGTTGCGGACAGCTTTCAAAGGAAACACAGATCCAACCACAGAAGCCTTGAAGGGCCAGCCCGGCTCTTCACTGAGGGTTTCACAAAGGAGCTAGCCTGAGGGCATCACAGAGCACACTGCACAGAAGTTTCTCAGAAACTTTCTCCAGATTCGGCCCCTCCTTCCAGAATTCCATACTGGTGAACCCTGTACCTCCCTTGCAGGCCCTCGGGCATGTGGCTCTCCCTTCTGCTCCCTGCCCTGGGCCTCCTACCCCTGGGCTGGCACCTCCAACACCCACTCTCCCAGCCTTTGCAGCTTGGAGATGTTGGGGTCTCGCCCAGGATCCTGTTGCTCTAGCCGGGAGGAGGAGCACAGCCTGGAAGCAGTCCTCTCTCACGGCTTTTGAGCAGTACATGTTCTTGGGATTGGAAGATGACTTGAAACCCTACATCTCATCACCATAGTTTTATTATCTTGGGAGAATTTAAAACACATCCAGAAGTGGGGAGGAGTTTAGGAACCCCCATGTGAGGAGTCCATCATGCAGCCTGAACAGTTATCAACTCACTAGCCTGTCTCATTACTTTTTATGTATTGCTACTGACCACCTCGCTGTTAGAGGACTTGGAAGGAAAATCTCGACATGATATCATGTCCTTCATCAATATTTCACTATTATCTCTAAAAAATAGATCTCCATTTCGAAGAGTTCCAAATTCACAGACAAGGCGTAAGCACTTACACATCCTACACCTAGACTTACAGAGTAAGATTTTGTCATATTCTCTGTGTGTGTGTGCGCCTTTCACTAAACCATCTGAGAGAAACTTGCAGACATCTTCGCCTGTCACCCCTACATACTCCTATGACCAAAGAGATTCTTTTTTAGAGAGAGAGAGCAGGTGCGTGTGTGTGCACGTGCCAGAGTGGGGCTGGGGGAGGGAGTCCCAGGCAGGCTCCATGCTCAGGGCAGAGTCCGACGCAACCCTGAGACCATGACTAAGCCATCCGGGCACCCCCAGGGATTCTCGTACACAGCCATAAAACAAGTCTATGAATAAATTCAGGAAACTTGACCTTGCTTATGAGACTGGGAGAGAGTCCACACTGGAGTTTTGATTGTGTCCATCACAGCAAGTTGCCCTGATTGAGCACCTGGTCTGGGGTTACATGCTGCAATCACTTGTCAAATCTCCTCGGTTGCCTTAATTTCGGAAAAGTTCCTCAACCTTTTAGTGTTGTTTATGACCTTATTTTTGAAGATTACAGGCCCATCGTTCTGTATGTCTTCACTTCGAGTCTGTGATTGCTCCCTCTTTAGCTTGTGCATTTCTGGTAGGCACGGCACGTAACCGAGGTCATGTCACCTCATGTCAGTAGGTCACTGTTATTCGGGATGTCAACCTTCAACCTTTGATTCAGATGGGGTCCACATATGTAGCACCTGTAAAAACACCCTGTTCTCCCTTAAAATTCCTTGAGCAGAAGCAGTTAGTGAGCTGTGAGCTATGAAATGGCAACATAACCTGTTCCTCAACAACCTTCCCCCAGCGACTGTAGAGTTCACTAGTGACTCCTGCCAGGGTCCCAGGACAACTGCAACATGCTGATGCTTTAAGTAATTCCTTTTCAACTTATTAGTCAGCATTCTGTAAAGAAAAGCTTTCCCTTTCCCTTCCTCATCTCTAAGATTTTTTTACTTACTCATTTATTTTTTATTTCTAGTATACGTGCTGCCGAAGCGAGCAGATATACTAGAGCACAAGAATATTTTTTATTTCTTAGTATGAACTCATGCATTCCCTTTTTTCCCCGACATATGCTAATGTATTACTGTCATTATTCCTTTTGATACTTCCACCTAATTTGACTAAGCTAGTTCCTTATTGTATTTCTATTTAGGGACAGAGATCCACCAAAGCTTAACACATTTTTTGAGTCCACTCTTGCCTCATAATAAATCTCAGCTCGCTGTCAAATCCAAATATCCTAAATGGCTCACAAGACCCCTGGGGTCTCCCTTGCTTGCCCCTCTGGGAGGGCTCCTGTGCCCTCCACCAACTTCAACAGCTTGGCTTTTTGCTTTGTCGTGGTCAAATACTTCTGTTCTGACCTGGACTGGCTTCCCCTTCCCTGCTGGGATGCTTATCCACAGCCTCTGCCCCCTTGTCTGCCTTGTCACTTTCTCTGATCCCCCCTCCAAGCTTGCTCTGGCCCCTCTTGCCAGGCTCTGTGCACACACCATAGTAACCGTGTTCCTGCTCTTTATCCCCCATTGTCTGTTCACCTGCCTTCTGGGCTGTGCTCCTCGTGCTGTCTTGCCAGCACTTGGCACAGCCCGAGGGGAGCAGCTACTTGGGGAGGACTTGTTTAATTAATAAGCGAACAGTTCTAAGTTATGAGGAATAAAGTCTGAGCAGTGTGCTTAAGCCACAAATGAGCTTGCTGACATGTAGGTAATTTTCAATGATGATATACAAAATGGAGAAAAAGTATTTATTTTTCACAGAAAATTCTGGGACAATAAAGAAAATATTCTCAGAAACTAGCTGAAATTTAGGCCTTTACTAAGAGAAAAATACCTTGGTTCTTTCGTTGGTTGATTTGACAGACATGCACCTCCCCCTGCTACCCGCCCCCCCACCCCCCACCATAGTACTAGATACCACAGATGGCTTCTGCCCTGTGCAGCTGACCACTGTTGGGGCTGACCAGCACACACATGGAAAGTTCTAGCAGTGCTGATGGAGCTATGAATAGAGCACTCTGATGACCCAGAAAGGAAACCAACTGTCTAAAAGGAAAAGATTTAAATGGTTGACATTTGAGCGGCACCTTGAACATTAAGCCTGATTTTACCAGAAGTGGAAGAAAGGACACTCCAGGCAGAAGGAAGAGAACAGATGGAGGGCAGTAAAGAACCGAAGTGCTCGGAAGTGAGAAGAGGCTCCAGGCTCTACTCTGCAAGCAGCAGACATCTGGGAGCCCAGGCTCCTCCTTCTGCTCTGTTCTTTAAACAGACCATCAGTAAATGGTACCATTCTACAGTGTAAATAAAGCCCGTACTTCATTCATGACTACATCCAGGGACTCCCCCAGTGTCAAGCGGGTGTGACAAAGGTCAGGTGTCCAACTAGGGCAGGAAGAGAGATGTAAGGGGAACAGCTACATCAGGGACGAATTTGTGAAGGGTCTTCTGGTCCATAAAACACAAGCTGGACTTCAGCCTCCTGGGCCAACCACCAGAGGAGGGTGGTGAAGGGGCTTTTTCAGGAAATATGTGTTAGCATGAAGAGTGGTGGGGTGAACAGATGTGGAACAGAGATCGGCCACCATGCTACTGAAACAAATAAGGACTGGGATGCCGGGGTGGCTCAGTAGTTGAGGATCTGCCTTCGGCTCAGGTAGTGGTCCTGGAGTCCCTCATCGGCTCTCTGCAGGGGAGCTTCTCCCTCTGCCTGTGTCTCCGCCTCTCTCTCTCTCATGAATAAATAAATAAAAGCCTAAAAAAAAAAATCAGGACAGCGGTAACAGCAAGCAAAGCCATCCTAAAAGGGAGGAATGATTTTTTAGGTAGGATAGGTACAACTTGTGATCACATGACATGAGAAGTGAGGGGGACCATGGGCTGAGAAATTTATAACTAAAATGTTCTTTAAAATTGATCTGATCTTTCTAAGCAAAAATGCCACAAAACCGTGTTTTATGTTATAACTTCAGATTCCAAGTGAAAATGGATATTTCTTTTGAAACACAGATTGAAACACACACATCAAGCAAAGGGGAACAAAAAACCAGTTTTTCTTTTATTTTGTAAATTTTATTTGTATTTTAATTCCAGCATAGTTAACACAGAACTTAGTTTCAGGAGTACAATGTAGTGTCAGCATCCCCAGACATCACCATGACCCTCAGGATAAGTGCTCTGCTTCATCCCCATCACCTCCCCCACCCCTCCCTCTGGTGACCTGCAGGGTGTTCTCTAGAGCGGAGAGTCTGAGTGTCTTGGTTTGCCTTTTTTTTTTTAAATTTATTTCTTAAACTCCACATATAAGTGAAATCATATGGTATCTGTCTTATTTCACTTAGCATAATACACTCTAGTTGATCCATGTTGTCACAAATGGCAAAATTTTGTTCTTTTTTATGGCTGAATAATATTCCATTACATATATATATATATATATATATATATATATATATATATACACCTTGTCTTCCTTACCTATTCATCAGTGGATGGACACTTCCACAGTTTGGCTATTGAGGACATCCCCCTATGAACAATGGGGTGCAGGTGCGGCTTTGGATCACTGTTTCTAACCTTTAGGCAATCCTAGGAGTGCAGTTGTGGGGTTGTAGGGTAGCTCTATTTTTAACTTCTTGAGGACCCTCCACACAGTTTTCCGGAGTGGCTGCAGCAGCTTGAGTTCCCACCCACAGGGCAAGAGGGCTCCCCTTTCTCCACAGCCTCACCAGCACCTGTTGTTTCTCGTATTGTTGATTTTAGCCGTTGTGACAGCTGTGATATCTACAAAGAGCCAGTTTTGAAGGAGGAAGGATCACACAATGTGACTACAAAAGAGGAGATGTCATTTCAATATAAGATATTCCCTTATTGCTTAGGTTACTGGCCTTTTCTACAATTTAGGAACGCATCTGTGAGTCAGAATGTCTGCCTGCATGTAGACATAAGCAAAAACGATGAAAGTCTAACTTACCAACTTTGGAGAACTCCTCATCTTTCCAAGATGGTCCACATCACTGGGCTGGGGGTGATTTCGCAGTGGAGAGGCAGGGCCTGGTAAGTGCAGGTAAGCATACAGGAGCACCTGAGAAGGGTCCCAACACGCCCCACCCGTCCTCTGGGGAACTGAGCTTTAAACACTTTCCATAAACCCGTTAAAGTCACTGCTGTGAACATCCTGATTTAACCTGCAGGGCTCCTAGAGCTAGAACGTGACCACGTATCACAAAGCAAGGGGCACCCAGCTCCGACTGCCAAGCAACACAGGGGTGTGGGAAGCACACTTGCCAGCATTCGACCCTGGCCAGGAGGCGCGCCAGAGGCACAGGTGCAGGGATGGGTGCCGCAGCGACCCAGCTAAGACTTCCTAAGTCTTAACTCCCGCCACCCGGACCTATTCAAGTGCTAGGTCGGCGCAGTCAACACTCAGGAGTAGACGCAGGACGCCAGGCAGCAAGCTCCCAGGAGGTGGACGGGGAAGGGAGCGCACCCCCAGGCCCCCTGCCCCGCCCGGCCTCTGCCATGGCCCAAGGGCGCTCAGGGCCCGGGTGTCTCTGCGCAGGTGGAAGGGGCCTGGGGCTGGAATGACGGGGGTGAGGGGGGTAAGGGGGCGGGGGGCGTGATCCCGGGGTGAGGGGAGCAGTTCCAGAGTAAGGGGTGAGGAGGGTGAGGGGGGCGGGGGACGCGGTCCCGGGTGAGGGGGTGAGGGGGGCGGTCCCGGGGTGAGGGAGTGAGGGGGACAGGGGGCGCGGTCCCGAGGTGAGGAGGGTGAGGAAGGTGAGGGGGGCGGGGGGCGCGGCCCCAGGGAGAGGGGAGTGAGGGGGTGAGGGGGGCGGGGGGTGCGGCCCTGGGTTGAGGGAGTGACGGGGGCAGGGGGTCGCGGCCCCGGGGTGAAGGGGTGAGGGGGGCGGGGGGCGCGGCCCCAGGGAGAGGGGGGTGAGGGGGTGAGGGGGGCGCGGCCCGGGGTGAGGGGGTGACGGGGGACGGGGGGGGTGCGGTCCCGGGGTGAGGAGGGTGAGGGGGTGAAGGGGTGAGGGGGGCGGGGTCGCGGCCCTGGGGAGATGGGGGTGAGGGGCGCGTGGGGCGCGGCCCCGGGGAGAGGGGGGTGAGGGGGTGAAGGGGTGAGGGGGCGGGGGCACGGCCCCGGGGAGAGGGGGGTGTGAGGGGGTGAAGGGGTGAGGGGGGCGGGGGCACGGCCCCGGGGAGAGGGGGGTGAGGGGGTGAAGGGGTGAGGGGGGCGGGGGCACGGCCCCGGGGAGAGGGGGGTGAGGAGGGTGAGGGGGTGAGGGGGTTAGGGCGCCGGCCGACCGCTATTCGGGAGCCAGGAGGGGGTCGCCGTACCCCGCTACAGCGCCGCCTCTCCAGGTCGCAGCGGGGGCGGGGGCGACGGCGGGGCGGGGTTGCGTGCGCGCCCGCGCCAATCACAAGCGCCGCCGGCCGGGGCGCGCGCACGGAAAGGCCGGGAAGCGGAGGGGCGGGCCTGGTGCCGCGCGCAGCCAATCGGGGCGCCCCGGCGCCATGACGTGAGGCTCTCCCGGGCGCTGAGCGCCAGTCGGCTGGCGGGGCCGGTGAGTGTGCGGGCGCGCGGGCGCGCGGGCGCGCGGGCGCGCGGGGCGGGACTTCCGGCGAGCCCCGGAAGCGGGAGCTGTGTGTTCTCATGCGAACGGGAAGGAGCGTTGGGGCGCCGGAGTCGCGAGGTTGAGACATTTTCGGGCCCGAAACGGGAAGGAGTCGCGGCCGCCCGCCGCCAGCCCGCGCCGCGCCGCCCCCGCCGCTCGTCCGGGCCGGCCGCGCCCTCCCCGCCCCTCCCTCTCGGCCCGTCCGCGTGTGGCGCGGTCGCCGGGCACCGGGGCTGCGGCGGTCGGCGGCCGGGCGGCGGCGGCGCTGCTGACAGGTGAGCGCGGCGGGCGGCGGGCGGGCCGCCGGGTGCCCGCGCCCCCGCCCCGGCCGCCCGCTCGGACCCGCGGCGCGCCCGCCTGTCACGGGCCGCCATCTTCCCGGAGGACGCGGCGGGCGGAGTGCGGGCCGGGCGGGGCGGGACTGCGGGGCCGGGCCGGGCCGGGCTGCGGGGGGCGGGCGGGGGCGCGCGGGGCTGGGGCAGGGCCGCGCCGCCGTCCGGCCCGCACTGCGGAGGCCTCGCCCCGCCCGCCCGCCCGGGGCCCGCGCGCCGCCGGCCGGGCGGGGAGCGGCGGGGACCCGGGCACCAGGAAGTGGGAGCCCGTGCGGGCCGCGCCGGGGCGGCGGGTGTGCGGCGGGAGGGGTCGGCGCCCGGCCTCCCCCTGCAGCGCGACGCCTCCCGGGCGCGGGCGGGCGGGCGGACAGTTGGCCGGCGCGTGCGAGCTTCTCCCGGCGGCGGGTCGTGTCCCCCGGGCGGTGGGGCCGGAGCGGGGCAGCCGAGCAAGCGGGGGGGGGGGGGGCGGGGGGAGGGGGGTGCAAGTTACCTTCCTTCTGGAAAGTTTTTTTCCTTCTCTTCCCCTATTTTTTTTTTAAAGCTGGTTTCTCGAGTTGCGTGGAGAATTTGCAATGCGCTCGAAATAGGTGCGAAGTTGTCGTTTGCAGGGGGTGGGGTGGGGTGGGGGCGCCGCTCCCGCCCTGCGGTGCAGGCGGCGCACTGTGCAATCTGCACACTTCCCCACCTGCCTGCCTCCCTCTAATTTACCGTCGGCCGGCCTCGGCCTCCTCTGCACAAGTCGGGTGCGTGGGGCTTCGGCTCTGCTCTGCACCGGGAGGCGGTTTCCTGAATCCGGCCGCAGATGACCCCTCCGAACTCCGGTTTGCTCGGGGTTGCCGAGGCGGGGTATCCCCACAGAGGCATCGGGTCAGCAAGCTTATCATCATTTCAGCCGTAAAGGGGATTGGTGCATTTCCTTTGAAACTTGCTTTTGGGTTCGAAATGAGTCTCCTCATTCTGTATTTTGGAACATTAATGGGAGCTGACTTGTTTCCATGAAAGGATGTCCTGGCTTCTTATTGATGAAGCGGTGACTTCTGCTGCTTCGCTTTTCTTCATCCAGCCCCGCAGGGCTGTCCCAGCAAGTCCGTCTGGGCCGTTTTTACTGCTTATTTTCATTACTCGATTTTTTTTAACGAAAACTTGAAAGTGTCATTTACCGCACTGCTGTTTTCAGTATTCTTTCTCTGTCCATTCTGATTTGCTGGACAGTTTTTTTGTTCGGTTTTGTTTGTTTGGGGGGGGGTTGTTTTTGCTTGGTTCCATGTATTTGGGCAGAGAAAGCAAGTTCTGAGGATAGATTGTGTATTCTGAGCAAAGGACTTCTATATCTGAGTGGGAGCCGGAGAGAAAATAGGTGATAATGTGAATGGTAGCATTCATTTAATGCATTCTGTACAAGAGTAGCTGAAATTAAATGGCAGCACATTGAGGGAGATACTTGATTTTATTTAAAATAAAAGATTTTATTTTTTCTTAGGGTTCCTTAGGGAGCGTGCTTCAAAAAAAGTTGAGCGTTGGAAAATTTATTGAACTTAACGATGATTTCTGCAAATAAGCACAATTTTGACAGACCTAATTAAACTCTGTGAAAACATTCTAGTCACTTGTTTTTATGAAACAGTCTTCGCATATCCTAACACGTCTATCCTAACAGTCTTCACATATCCTAATTCTGAAATACGAAGTGCAAGGCAGGAGCACCAGGTTAAGAGTAATAGAATAAGCCGTGCCTTGGAGGAGCCCTACTCCCGCGAGTAGATTGCAACCGTATTTACAGGTTTTTGTAGGGAGAGACCTGAGGTCCCTGTTACCAAGAGAAGTGGCCGACAGACTGCTTCCACTGTTACTTCAGAGTGTCATGCTGGGCTTCATACTTTCCATAGTGATAAGTAGGATTATTATTTAGGTCTTCTAATTTTAGTAACATGTGCTGTCTTTAGGATGGTCCCTAGAGATCTTTAAAAGCTGTGTAGATACATGTTACTTTAGATTGTTATTGTCCTCAAGTTCAAGGCACAAGTTTTAAGTATGCTTTCATAATCCATGGTGGTATGTTCACAGAGTTTTCTCCTACTTAAGGATTTTTTTCAGATAGATAAATGCAAGAAAATCTCAGTATATTCTTGTCATTTCTCCTATAAGGCCATTGACTCAACCTGTTTCTAATGGGCAGAAGAAAACAAACACTGAAGTTGTTTTTATGGAAAATACATTGTTAAAAACAGACACTGTTGCTGGGCATTGTTGCTTATACTGTTTTCTAAAACTTTATCCTGTGAAGAGTTCGCTTTTTTTCTGTAAGAGCTAATTTTAGAGTACACAGTAAATGAGGCACTGCCTTCTGAGAGCTTTCAACTCACCAGATATGATTGTAGTTTGCTTCAGTTCAGGCTGCTGCTGCTTGGTGCACTCGGTGATCTCCCCAGAGCGACTCTATTTCCCCTGGAGCTTCTTACAGGAATATGGAGTTATAGAGGGAGAGCCATCAGGTTCTCTTATTAGAAGGAAGGAAAATAACTCCAATGTGGACTTTTTTTTTTTTTCCTAACATTCCAACACTTTATTTTTTCTGCATGTCAATGTCTTTAACCTTTAGGAACAGCGAAGAGAAGTCTTAACTTGGCTCACATCTCCTTCCCTTATTGTCCCCCGCCCCAAAGTCCCTATTGTCCCTTTAATAGTTCTATAAATTGTCTTTTCAGCACTTTTCTGGTGATGCTTTCATGGCTGAGTTATAAGGGCTGCAGGTGAGTGATGCCACCACTTCTGGGCCTTCTTCACAGTCTGGTTTTCTCTTCAGCATCCCCCCTACTTCCCTGATAGTGAGACCTGGGTCAGGAGTACATTGTGTTAACACAAAAGACATTTCATATTTAGCTCAAATTTGAAAGCATGCTACTTAATCTTTGGAGAGGGTTTTAATAATCGTTGAGATGTGACTTAAGCTTCAGTGAAAGTGTTCTTTACGAAATCTGATATGCAAACATATTGGCTTGGAAACCTACAAGTTAGGTAGCATTTATTTGTGTGAGAAAAATAAAGTGTCTCTTTCATTTACAGCACACCATTTTAGTTCCACTGTGGCCGGAGGTTGCTTTAAAGGCGTATCCTGGTTGTCAGGCCTTTTTAAAAAACTCATCAGTGACTGTCCCCTGTCTAATAAGTGAGAAACGCCAAGGGCCAGGCTCCAGGGCCCTGGGCATTTCTGCCTCCTCCTTGCAGGCTGCCTTGCGCTCACCACTGCCTCTGCCTCAAAACCGTGCTGTTGCCTTTGCTCTCTGTAGTTTCTTTGCCTGAAATAGAATTTTTTTTTTTAACTTTGCTCTTTAATCCATCCTTATAAAGGTATTTCAGGAGTCCTTCAGGAATCCTTGCCTTCATTTCTAAGGTGCTTAGAGTGCTTCTCTGTTTCTGTAGCATGTCAGGCACAGCACCTGATGAATTAATGTAAGCTCCTTGTGGGTGCGATCCTTTCTGGTTTGTAATCTCTTTGCCCAACTCAGGTCCAGGTACCCTATACAGACCTTCTTTGACTTAGGATATACCTGCTGTAGGTTGAAAATACTGTTAAGTTGGAAATGGGTTTCATACAACTAACCTTTAACATCACAGCTTAGGGTTGTTTACTTTAAACCTGCTCAGAACACTTAACATTCACCTGCAGTTAGTGCAAAATCATCTAACACAAAGCCTGTTTGTTCGTGAAGTGTTGAATATCTCATGTAAGTCATTGAATACCGTAGTGAAAGTGACAAACAGAATGGCAGTATGAGTGCCCGATGGTTGTCAGTTGTCAGCGAACTCGGTTGTTATTCCTCTGATTGTGGGGCTGAGTGGGAGGGAGCCTGCTACCTGGAGCAAGATCAGCATTGAAAATTTGAGGTACAGGGCAGCCCTGGTGGTGCAGCGGTTTAGCTCCCTCTGCCTGTGTCTTGGCCTCTCTCTCTCTGTGCCTCTCGTGAATAAGTGAATAGAATCTTAAAAAAAAAAAAAATTTGAGGTGCAGTTTCCACCGAATGTGTATCATTTTTGCACCATTGTGAAGTTGAAAAATTGTAAGTTGACCCATCATAAGTTGGGGACCATCTGTAGATGTTTAGTAAACTTTGCTCAGCTAGATGGAAAAAAGGCGTGTCTAAAGACACCTTTCATTTCGGTTGTAAGGAAATGATTTGCAGATTGTACAATTGCATGCCTTTGTAAACATAAAAATTTTCACTTGAAATGAGTGCAATAGAAAGTGCACAGTCATATTTACAAAATGTGATTTGATAGTGATATAGTGCATACTGCATTGTGGATGGAGTAATTTTCAAATTTTTTATTTTTGAAAGATTTTATTTAATGAGAGATGCAGAGAGAGTCAGAGACACAGGCAGAGGGGAGAAGCAGGCTCCCCATAGGGAGCCCAATGTGGGACTTGATCCCAGGACCCCGGGATTATGCCCTGGGCTGAAGGCGGCGCTAAACCACTGAGCCACCCAGGTGCCCCTTTTTATTTACTTTTTTAAAGATTTTATTTATTAGAGCACAAGCAGGCTCCCAGCTGAGCAGGGAGCATGATGTGGGGATCAGTCCCAGGAATGACCCCGTGCAAAGGCAGACACTTAACCTACTGAGCCACCCAGGTGCCCCTGGATGGAGTCCTTTAGTCATGTGACATAGATTGTGTTCTTTCTTAGTCTTTAAAAACTTGCCCTCTTGGGGATCCCTGGGTGGTGCAGCGGTTTAGCGCCTGCCTTTGGCCCAGGGCGCGATCCTGGAGACCCGGGATCGAATACCATGTCGAGCTCCCGGTGCATGGAGCCTGCTTCTCCCTCTGCCTATGTCTCTGCCTCTCTCTCTCTGTGTGACTATCATAAAAAAAAAAAAAAAAAAAAAAAAAAAAAAAACTTGCCCTCTTGATAACGAATGCCAATTTCTTTGGCTTTAAAATTAAA